TCCAATCCTTCCTCTCATATCCACCTCCTTGACCTGACACAACCTGTCCATCCATTTCAACTCCCCCTCCCATTCCTCAGACGACATGTCCATCCTGGGCCTCCTACAGTGCCACAACGATGCCACCCGAAGGTTGCAGGAACAGCAACTCATATTCCGCTTGGGAACCCTGCAGCCCAATGGTATCAATGTGGATTTCACAAGTTTCAAAATCTCCCCTCCCCCCACCGCATCCCAAAACCAGTCCAGCTCGTCCCTGCCTCCCTAACCTGTTCTTCCTCCCACCTATCCCCTCCTCCGACCTCAAGCCGCACCTCCATCTCCTACCGACCAACCTCATCCCGCCCCTTGACCTGTCCGTCCTCCCTGGACTGACCTATCCCCTTCCTAACTCCCTACCTACACTCACCTTACCTGGCTCCATCCCCGCCTCTTCGACCTGTTTGTTTCCTCTCCTCTATCCCTCTTCTATCCGCCTCCCACTCTCTCCCTATTTATTTCAAAACCCCCTTCCCCTCCCCCTTTTCTGATGAAGGGTCTAGGCCCGAAACGTCAGCCTCTCTGCTCCTATGATGCTGCTTGGCCTGCTGTGTTCATCCAGCCCTGCAACTTGTTGTCTCGGATTCTCCAGCATCTGCAGTTCCTACTATCTCATCTTCTCTCCTATCTATTCACTCCTCCCACCTCACTGACCAATTCCCCACCATTCCCTACCTGCACTCACCTTATTGTCATGAGAGATAACAAAAACTGCAGATGCCCGAGTCAGAGTCAACACAGCGTGGAGCTGGAGGAGCACAGCAGGCCAGGCAGCATCAGAGGAGCAGGAGAGTAGACAATTCGGGTTGGGACCATTCTTCAGAAATGGGAACCCGGTTCTTATGAAAGATCGTGGCCCAAAACGTTGACTCTCCTGCTCCTCTGATGCTGCCTGGCCTACTGTGTACCTCCAACTTCACATCATGTTGACTCTACCTATCGCCACCCTGCCTACCTTTCCCTAGCCCCACCGCTCCTCTCTATTTATTTCCCAGCTCCTTTCCCCCTCCTTCCCCCCCCCGATGAAGGGTCCTGACCCAAAATGTAGGCTTTCCTGTTCCTCTGAAGCTGCCTGACCGGCTGTGTTCCTCCAGCTCCACGCTGTATTGACTACAACTCCCAGAAGCACTGGATCTACTGCAAATGTGCCGAGAGTAATAATGAAATCTCCTCCCTCTAGGTGGCACGCACTTGGACAATTTCAATGCAGAGTGGCTTGCTCATGGGATCATGTAACTTGATGTTCTGAGTTCTGTCAGTGATGACAAATCATCCACAAATTCAGCAACTGATGTTTTACACCACATGATACAGAAATAAATGGGAGCAAAACTGATTTTTGAAAGATATGCTTTTATTTTTAACTTCCATATTATATCCTGGAATTGACATCCCATGTAGTGTTGGTAATATGGGTTTTGCTAGTGTTTGTTCTTGACATCCTTCCATCTACATAAGTTGATAGACATGCAGCAAATAAGTCTGAGATAACAAGGTGTAGAGCTGGATGAACACAGCAGGCCAAGCAGCATCATAGGAGCAGGAAGGCTGACATTTTGGGCCTAGACCCTTCAGCAAATAAGTCAGTTGGGGCTGGGGTACCTTTGTATTGTAGTTTTGCTGATAGCCGAAGAAGTCAATCCAAGAGAAGCACTTTCTTTTGAGCAACTGTTGCTTACAAAGTGAGGGCTGCTAGTATACTCAACGTTTATTGCTCATCCCTAAGGAAGATGGTGGTAAGCTGCATTCTTAAAGTGCTATAGTCTATGTAGTGTAGGTACACCCACAATGCTGTTCGGGAGGGAGTCCAGGATTTTGACCCAGTGACACTGAAGGAACGGCAATATATTTCCAAGTCAGCATGGTGAAAAACTTGGAGGTGCTCCCATGTATCTGCTCCTTTGTCCCTCTTAATGGAAGTGGTTGTGTGTTTGGAACATGCTAACTAAGGAGTCTTGGTAATGGTGCAATGCATCTTGTAGATGGTATACACTGCTGCTACTGAGCATCGAGGTTGGAGTTAGCAGATGTTAGTGAATGTAGTGCCAGCCAAGAAAGCTGCTTTGTTCCTAATGAAGTCAAGCTTCTTGAGTGTTGTTAGGTACTTTGCTAGCCACGTGAGGAGTATTCCATCATACTTCTGACTTGTGCTTTGCAGATGGTGGGCAGGCTTTGGGGAGTTAGTAGGTTATTAACCCACTAAAGGATTGCTAGCCTCTGAACTGCTCTGGTAGCCATAGTATATATGGCTAGTCTAGTTCAGTCTCTAGTCAATGGAAATCCCCAGGATGCTAATCGTGGGATGTTCAGCAATGGTAATATCATTGAGGGTTAAGGGGGAATAATTAGATTCTCTCCAGTTGGAGATGTCATTGCTTGGTGTGGTTTGAATGTTACTTGCCACTTATTATCCAAAACTGGATATTATCCAGGACTTGCTGCATTTGGAGTAGACCGCTTAAGTACTTGAGAAGTCATGAATGGTGCTAAACATTGTGCAATCATGAGCACACATCTCCATTTCTGACTGAATGATGGTGTGAAAATCATTGAAGCAGCTGAACATGGTTGGGCTGAGGAACTTCTGGAGAGATGTCCTGGAGCTGGGATGACTGACCTCCAACAACCACGATCATCTATCTTCCTTTCTGCCAGCAGAGGCCCCCCCGGCCCACCATTGATTCTAGTTCTGCTAGGGCTCCTTGATGCTACAATCTGTCAAGTGCTGTTTCAATATCAAAGACAGTCACTCTCACCTCCCCTCTGGAATTCAACTGTTTTGTCCATACTTAAAGCAAATTTGTAACAAGGTCAAGACCAGATTATTGCTAAGAAGGTGCTGCTTGATAGAACTATTGATGACCATATTGCAGTACAGAGAGGGAGCATTAGTGTACAAAAAATGAATTGGTCTGTCAACTGTGGTTGAGTAGATGTGTTGGGGGTAGGGGGGAGCCCTCAGTTGTTGGAAAAGAGGCTATCCAGCTCTGCTTTTGAGGAAGGTGGAAGTCTGTTTTATCCATTCACACGAAAAGATGCTTGCTGGCTAGACCAGCACGTATTGCCCACCCTTAATTGCCCAGAGCGCAGTTAAGAATTAACCATATTGCTGTGGGTCTGGAGTCACATATAAGGCAGAGCAGGTAAGGATGGTAGTTTCATTCCCAAAGGACATCAGTAAATCAGTTGGGTTTTTCTGACAATTAACAATGGATTCATGATCATGATTAGACTCTTATGCCTTTGCAGGATTTGAACTCCGATGGATAGGGCTTTAAACTATATAGAGAGAGAGAGAAAAGTGTGTGGTGTGTGTGTGTGTATGTGTGTAATTGGAATGGCCCTTCAGTTGCATGGAAAATCATGGAAAGAATTAAGCGGGATGTTGGGGTCCAGGGGGAGGAGGACTCATCAGAGGTTAAAGTTTCCAGAACAAGTAATAGGACAGAGAAAGGGGTCAGGAATCTAACCTCAGGCACATCACATAAGGGGACAACTATGAGAAGGGGGACAGTCAATGCAGGACTGACGTTCTTGTACTTAAATGCATACAGTATACAAAACAAGGTAAATTAGCATGTGGTAGGTACGATGTTGTGGGTATCACAGGGACTTGGCTACAAGGGATAGGGCTGGGAACTAGATATCCAAGGACACACATCCTATCAAAAGGATGGGCAGGGGAGCATGGATGCCTTGTTAATAAGAAATGAAATAAATCAATAGCAATAGGTGATACAGAGTCAGAAGGAGTAGAATCTCTGTGGGCAGAGTTGAGGAACCACAAAAAAAAGACCATGATGGGATTTGCGTACAGGCCTTCTAGCAGCAGTCAGGATGTAGGAAAGAAAATAAATCAGGAGATGCAAAAGGCATGTAAGAAATGCACTATTACACCAGGGGACTTCAATATACAAGTGGACTGGGAAAATCAGGTTGTGAGCGGAGCTCAAGAGCAGGAATTTATGTAATGTCTATGAGATTTTTTTTTGAAGTGGTCTATATTAGAGCTCACGAGTGAACAGGCAATTCTGGATTTAGTGAATTGTAGTAAGGCAGACTTGATAAGGGAGCTGAAGGTGAAGGAACCCCTAGGGGGCAGTAACCATAATATGATAGAATTCACCGTGCAGTTTGAGAGAGAGAAGCTGGAAACAGATGTAACAGTATTACAGACAACAAGGTGCAGGGCTGGATGAACACAGCAGTCCTGCTTGGCCTGCTGTGTTCATTCAGCCCTGTACCTTGTTGTCTCGGCTTCTCCAGCATCTGCAGTTCCTACTATCTCTGATTCAATTTTAACAGTATTACAATTGAGTGTAGGTAAAGACTGAGGGAGGAGCTGGCTAGAGTTGGATAAAGGCTGGACAGAAGGTGGATAAATCACCTGGACAAGGTGGACTACAACCCAGAGTTCAGAAGGAGATAGCTGAGGAGATTGTGGAGGCATTGGTGGTGATCTTTCAGAAATCACTGGAGTCAGGCTGGG